TGCTTTTGTGGATCAAAATCAACCTGTCACAATTTAAAGTTTCTACTCCATAATGTCGGTGACTTAATATAAACGAGAGGTGCATAAAACCCGAATCCGATCCGATCCGGTTTCGCTTCCGTCATCATCAATTTGGTTTGCCTTTAATCCGATCCTGTTTCAAACCGGTTTTGACTGGTTTCCCAATGGAAGATACAAATTGGTTTGATCCGGTTTTTGTTGGGTTAGAAATAGGGATGAGCAACAGGCTAGACCCGGACTAGACCGGCTTGCAGACCGAAAACACGAAGACCAAATATCATGAATTGTCTTACCCGAAAACCAGATTGTTTTTTGGTGTATCGGGTTCGGGTTCAGTCCGGTCTTGTTTCAGGTAGTAAACTGTGTTTCAGGTTTTGGATCGAATTAGACTTTGGCAGTGTTGTTTACGGTTTCTGTTCGATCTTGTGTCGGGTACCAAATTGGATTTCATATCTTTCTTGTTTATGTTTTTGAGTTTTGTTTGTCGTGTTACTCTCTAGTCTCTAGTAGGGGTGTGCAACAAACCGCATAGACCGCCCACACCGCACCGCATAATACGGTTTTCAATGTTCGCGGTGCGGTTTGCGGTTTGTAGTTTTTGTAAATCGCAATATATGGTGCGATTTGCGGTTTATGATTACTAAACTGCGGTTTAAACCGCACCGCATTATATATATATATATATATATATATATATATATATATATATATATATATATATATATATATATATATATATATATATATATATATATATATATATATATATATATATATATATATATATATATATATATAAAAGATCCATTCAGTCATTCAAAATATCAAGTTATATTTCAAAAAGGTTTTGTGATTCAATCATAAATTTTATACTTAAAATGGCATCATTGCAATTTTATAATTAAGAATGTATTAGTTGACATGTATAAACATTCTAAACTCTTTTTTGAATTAAAACCATTATAATTTCTTGAATTAAAAACATTATATTTAATATTAACAAATGTATTCTATGAATTTTTTTCATTTCACTTCACGATTGGTACAGGAAGAAAATATAATTGTAGATTTTAAACATCATGTGTCCTTGATTAAGCACTACAGGGACCAAAAAAATTAGTTTTTCTAATTATGTTTTTTTAGATCGTAAGCAACACATAAATATAAAAAAACGAAAAAAAAATATTCTCAAACCGCAAACCGCATTAAAATCGCCCGCATTGCACCAAACCGCAAAACGCGGTTTAGAACATTCGCGGTGTGGTTTGCGATTTTTGTAAATCTCAAACCGCATATGTGGTGCGGTTTGCGGTTTTGACTCTTAACCGCACCAAACCGCATCGTGCATACCCCTAGACTCTAGTATATTATTTCAAATTATAATTTTACTATGTAACATCCATTCTTCGTATATTTGTTGTTCGTACAATTCAACTAAAAAATTACATAAAAGAAGATGAATGCAAAGGTAACCGGTAACAATTTTTTTTTAATCGTGGGTGTATGTATAATTTTTACTTTTTGAGGAATGTTTGAATTCAATTAAATTATTCCATTCTTAAAGTATGGAGGATTTAAACACGTTGTTTTCATGAATCATTAAGCAATTTTAAAGATAAGTATTATTTGTGGCTTTTGTTTGAATTCTATATATATGTTGGGTTGGTGAAGTATTTAGTATTATAAAAAGTCATTTATGAGCTTGATATGGTATAATAATAACATTTTGATTAGTTTTTAACGAGATGAAATATTTTGAAGATTACATATCTATAAGCTTTTCATGTAAGATAGTAAAGTAAAATGTAGAGATTTTAACTACGAATTTATAATGAAAACTTGATATAAATGTATGTAATGTTAAATGAATTTCAAACATAATTTGATTGGGTTATTAAAACGATGTAACATTTTAGAAATCTTGTTTATGAATTAATAATTCAATCTCTAAATCTATATATTTTAAAATTATTATGATATTTATAAAAGAAATTAAAGTGAAAATGTTTTCGGGTCTGGTTCGGGTTAAATCCCGTATTCCGGGTACGGTGTGGTCCAAACCCGAAACCGGATTATTGGTAAAAACAAAACTCAAAAACCGGTAACTAATATGAATACTCAGTCCGGTCCCGATTTTTTTCGGTTCGGTCCGGACCAACGGGTCGTATGCTAATCCCTGGTTTGAATGGATTTTAGAGCGGTTTTCAAACTGGTTTTTGGAAAATCCAGTTTATGATTTCTGGTATTAAATCCGATTTGGATTGTTGGATTATGATCTGATTTACAATCCGGTTTTAAATCCGATCCGATCCGATTTTGATCAAACTGGTTTTGATCCAATCCGGTTTCGGATTGGATCTAGTTTTGAATAAACCGGTTTTTGTGTGCATCTTTATATAACAGACAATTTAAGTAAAAATATTGGTGTTAGCTACATAAAAGAGAAAAATGGTTCTTATAACAAAAATGATACAAACTTTTAATAATTCAAATCAGTGACATCAATATCATAAATGTTACAATGGAAAAATGTTATCTTAATTTTAACACTTCTAATATTTAAAACTAATGATCTGTGTATCATGTCAGTGACTATGACATTCAATAATTATGTAATAGTTAGTTTTTTTAAAGGAAAAATGGAGTCTTTAATTTACTGATAAATTATACCATTGACATAAACAGACTTGAATCCTAAGTCATAGGATATCATGTCAACACTAGGAGTGTTGATCGGATAATATTTTCGGGTTTTGGATAATTCGATTTCTCCATGTTAAAAAAATTACGCGTTACCCGACCCAAATGAAGTTCGAGTAATTCGGGTAATGGGTCAAGTTTAGGTAATTCGGGTATTAACCGAAATATATAAATTTTTTTAAATGACAACTAAAAATAAATTTAATAAAATAAATATGTCGTGCTCTATTAGTCTTGTTTATATAAACAAACGAGACATAAACGAAGTTTCTCAAACTTTGAACATTGATAATTTTTAGTCAATAATAATTGAGATATTAAGTAATATTTTAACAGTTTAATCTAATCTAATAAAATGTTAAAAAAAATAATTAAAGATCTTAGTTTAAAAGTTTAAAATGTTTAAGGTAATTGTAACCATAATTTTGCTATGTTATGAAGTTTTGTCAATATAATGAGTTTGTTAGTTGCAATAAAAACTATAATCTAAAAAATAATTAAAAAAATGTTACCCGATACCTGAAAAAATCGGACGGGTAATTCGGGTAACGAGTATTTTCGACAGGGCTAGTCAACACCAGCTAACATATATGTCATTTGGTATGAAAATCATGACTTTTAACCTCAAACTAATTGATGAAAAAAAAAAAACGAAACATTCAAGTTTTATACAATATTCAAGTATTTCAATACCAAAAGGCTTGTAACCTAGAGATATTATATGTATTGGAAGGTACCCATCCCCTAAGTGGTCAAGGGTTCAGTTCTCTTATGAATAAATGGTGTTGAATTAGGAGTACGATCAATGGATATGTGTGTTGTTCTAAAATAATTCAAGTATTTAAATACAATTAAATGTTTTTTCGAAGTTAACCTTTGAAAGAAAAGAGACCCCAAACCAATTTACATCCTTTAAATGAGTTGCAACACCCGTCCTCCTCTATCATCTCTAATCTTTACAAATAGTTTTTTTTCCTAATCTTTTTAGGTTTTGATTTGGTTTAGAAATCAGAAATGTTATATGAGAACTTGAAATCGGCAGGTTTGGCTTTTAAGCATCTTAAGAACACCATTTGCCTAATCTTGATAGTAGGATTTTAGGTTTGATTTTGGTTGATTGTTGGTTTTGATTTGATTTGATTTGGTTTTAGTTTCTTTTGACTTGGTTAATTTGTCATGGTTTTCGAAGGTGACTAGTTGTTGTTGTTGGGACAAACTGGTCATAGCTGTGAGAGTTGAAGGAGTTGAAGAGTTACAAGAAATTCCATAGTCGATTCCATTTTTATTATTTTAATTATAAAAAGCAAAAAGTTAATAATTAAATTTTAAAATAAATACAGAAGAGTAATATAATCATTTTGTTTGAGAGATCAAACCAAACCATAGTAAAAATAAAAATAAAAATTATAAATCATTTACGTAGATTACCTTAAACAATAATTTATGTAATTTACTTTAACTTAGGGATGAATAAAAACCGAACCGAAAACCAAAAAACGGAAAAAAACCGACATAACCGAAATAAAAAAACCGAAACTAAAGCAATAACTGACGATTTAGGTTTGAATTTTACAAAAACCGAAAATAATGGTTTGGTTCGGTTTGGACGTATAAAATCGCCCATAAAAACCGAACCGACCCACATATATATTATTTATATTATGATTTAAACTTTTAGTTTTACATTTTAAATTTTATCTCTTTAATACTTTATGTTTATTTTCAACAAACTGTTAATGATGTTAAACTTTTGAACACTTTTATTCTTTTATAATACTAGAATTAGTACTCTTTATTTTAGTATATTTAAAGTAGATACAATACTATTTATCGCAACGTATTTTCATTAGGTTTGAACCAAAAAACTAAAAAAAAAAAATCATGAACTCATAAACCCATGGTTTAAGAAAACCCATAAATCCAACCCGAAAAACCGAAAAACCGACCAATGCAAAAACCAAACCTATATGGGTTTAAAAACCGAAAAACCGACTTTCTACGGTTTGGTTTGGTTTTAGCAAAAAAAACCAACCCAAACCGACCCATGCTCATTCCTATTTTAACTTTAAATTTTAATTAAACACCAACACCAATCAATGTTAATAAAAAGAAGTTTACAAACGTTAGTGTCACATTCAAAATCATTTTTATTTCCTCGAGTAATTTTCATTGCAAAGTAGATCATATAAAAAAAAATAGATGGACCAGATCAAGATGGGTCCCAATCTCAGTCTCCTTTTTTTTTTTTTTTTTTCGTGGGAAAGGTCTCCTTTGACCACCATCATCTCCCCTCCTTCCACCCGTTTACTTCACATTTTCTTAATAATTGTCCTATTGTCACTGTATATTCTCAACCTTATATGTATGTATTTAATAATCAACCTCAATGAATTTAATCTTTATTCCGACAAAACCCTTGTCAAATATGCGATTTTGATTCACTTTGGTTGAGTTCCAAGACATGGGTGCCTGTTTGTCAACCACCAAGATCAGTGGCTCCAGTAGCACCACCCCCTCCAACGCCGACCACCGCCGCACCGGCAAGCATAATGAAGGTGGGTCTAATGTCAAATCCCATACACCCACGGAGATCCATAGGAATCAAAAACAAAAACAGAAGACCCAGCAGCAAAATAATCATAAAAACAAGAGGAAAGAAAAGTCTACTTCAAGAAAAGGGGTGATTCCATGTGGGAAAACTACAGATTTTGGGTATCTTAAGGATTTTGATAGTAACTATTCGACTGGGAAATTGTTGGGTCATGGTCAATTTGGGTACACCTACGTTGCTATAGATAAATCTAATGGAGATCGTGTAGCTGTCAAGAAAATTGACAAAAATAAGGTAAAATTTGACATTTTTCTTGTTTTCCAAGGTGTCTTCAGTTCCTAAATGAAAAGATGTTTGTGATCCAAAGATCGGAGATCTTGAATTTGACAATTCGATCATTCTCGATGCAAGAGTTGACTAATTGTTTGACTCATGACTCTTTTGTATTCCATTTTTCCACAGATGATCCTTCCGATTGCTGTCGAAGATGTTAAGAGAGAAGTGAAGATATTGCAAGCATTAAGTGGTCACGAAAATGTGGTTCAGTTTCATAACGCATATGAAGATAGCTCCTACGTATACATAGTTATGGAGTATGTCTTTTCAGTGCTTCGATACCAATTGAATTCCGATTTAAATTTCGCAACTTTGGTTCTTGCTAATTTGCTGAAACTTAACCTTTATAATTACCCTTTTCAGGTTATGCGAGGGTGGGGAGTTGCTGGACAGAATTTTAGGAAAGTAAGAACTCGTCACTATTCCCATCTTGTTAAAAGATGTTGACTTTTATGGTCAAATCTACTAATCTTTTACTTTAAAAGTTCATTATGTGCATATTAGAAACACATCTCTTATTCTCTTAGATGATAAGTAGGCATCGAGTTTTCAGTATAAAACTTAAAGGATTTCTATCAAATTATTAAGTTGAATGCGAGTCCTTTTGACCACAAAAGTCAAAGAATGGTTTTTCTTTTATCCAGGAAAGATAGTCGTTACTCTGAGAAAGATGCAGCAATTGTCGTAAGGCAAATGCTCAAAGTTGCTGCTGAATGCCATTTACACGGTTTAGTACACCGTGACATGAAACCAGAGGTATAAAAACACAAATCCATGCTATCTTAAATCAATGTTCAAAAATCAATTTTAACCTTTTGTATTTTATAGAACTTTCTTTTCAAGTCGAAGAAAGACGATTCACACTTAAAGGCTACAGATTTCGGTCTATCGGACTTCATAAGGCCAGGTGAATTTAATATCCCATTTCATATCCATTTTAAATGTTTTAACTTTCATCAAATACAACATTTACTTTAATAATTCTTTGTACTTTTTATTTTGTAGGAAGGAAGTTTACTGATATAGTTGGAAGTGCATATTATGTTGCACCCGAAGTATTGAAACGAAAATCAGGGCCTGAATCCGATGTTTGGAGTATAGGAGTGATCACATACATTTTACTTTGTGGGCGTCGCCCCTTTTGGGATAAAACTGAAGATGGGATTTTCAAAGAGGTATTTTTATTCAAAAGTTATCATATTTTATGATATATCTGTTAGTAATTTCCTAGATTATTATGAATTTATAGGTTTTAAAAAACAAACCTGACTTTAAACGCAAACCATGGCCAAACATCAGCGCGAGTGCTAAAGATTTGATCAAGAAATTGCTCGTCAAAGATCCTCGTGCAAGATTTACTGCTGCTCAAGCCCTATGTATGCTTCTTTCTCGTTTTTTCTTATTTATTTATGGATAGAAAATCATCGGTTGTATTTTATTTGTATATTTATATTTGGGTATTATGTGGTCAACTTTTATAGCACACCCATGGGTTCGAGAAGATGGAAATGCTTCTGAAATTCCTCTTGACATTTCCGTTTTATCCAACATGCGCAAATTTGTGAAATACAGTCGCCTAAAACAGTTTGCTCTAAGGGTAAGAATCGATGTTTATCTTTACATTTAGTCGTTAGTGATCCCAAATAATTTCTTCTAAGAATCGATGTTTTTACACAGGCTTTAGCTAGCACGCTTGATGAAGAGGAGATATCGGATCTTAGAGATCAGTTTCATGCGATTGATATAGATAAAAATGGTGCTATTAGTCTCGAGGAAATGAGAGAGGTAACTTTGACCTCAAAAAGTCAAAATAGACATTATATTCTACTTACTGAAAGTGAAAAATCACTCTTTTTGTAACAGGCCCTTGCTAAAGACCTTCCATGGAAGATGAAAGACTCACGTGTTTCAGAGATTCTAGAAGCTGTAAGCCTGTCCTTCTGTAAATATAGTAATGTCGATTGTCAAAGTTTAGTTCGTTTGACCTCAAAAGTCAAAACTAGGTTCAAATTTTAATGATTTATAAATGTTGTGATATGCAGATAGATGGTAACACAGATGGGCTTGTAAATTTCACGGAGTTTGTTGCAGCCACTCTCCATGTTCATCAATTGGAAGAACACAACTCTGAAAAATGGCAACATTTGTCAAAGGCTGCGTTTGAGAAATTTGATGTTGATAAAGATGGATATATAACTCCAGAAGAACTCAGAATGGTAAGCCATTGCATTTCAAAAATTAGATGCAAGTTTTGACTTTTTAGTCAAAAGTCAAACTTGAAAAATCACCTTGTTATCGGCTTTTGTAGCATACGGGCTTAAAGGGTTCAGTTGATCCACTTTTGGAAGAGGCTGATATTGATAAAGACGGTAAAATTAGTTTGTTGGAGTTTCGTAGACTTTTAAGAACCGCAAGCATCAGTCCACGCCCACGGCCCAACCACCACCACCACCACCACAACAGCAACAACATCAACAACAACAACAACATCATCAACAACAACAACAGTATCCCAGTCCCATCAAGTCACGGGGTAGGGGTGAGGTTAGATGTAGACGGTCACACCAGTACCCAAGGGTAGAGAGACTGTTTCCATAAACAATATTACAAACATTTGCATAAGGTCAAGAGTTTCGGTTTTTTCACTTTTGTCTATTTTATTTATAATAACAAATAGTTGGACTCGTGTTCGCACGAGAATTTGTATTTGTATGTAAAAAAACTTAGGTCGTGTTCGTGTACAACTTTTTAAGTTTGTATAGTTTTCCTTTAGTTGTATAAAAAAATGTTTTGAATAAGATGGATTATATATGGTGTATGTTCTTATAAGAAGTTTGATATGAATCCATTTGACTTTGTTTGAATCTTGTCACCAAGGAAAATAATGTTTTATAAATTATGATACTAGCTTCAACTTGTGGTAAATAGCATTAGCAAGAAGGGTTATAATGGTGAAAGTATTATTTCATGATGTTCCAAAATATTTGTTTGATATAATGACTTTTATGTATAAAAAGCCAATCACTTTTTTATTTTTATTTTCTTCTAAAATTTAAAATTTAAAACCTAAATCAACCTATTTTTTTACTGCAAATTGTTCTCAATCCTCATATAAAGGATCATGAGAATGAAGGTTCCATTTTAGATCATTCTAACTAAAACTAATTGATAATCATCTCGAAAAAAACTTACTTTATATTGAAAATCCAATATGAAAAAGAGAATGAAAATAAAATTATAAATGATTTGTATTAACACAAAAACAATTAATTATCTATTAAAACACTTTAATCTACTCCTAAACTAATTTTGAATTTTCATCTTTGTTTCAAACAGAACTTAAACCTAAAAACTCATGACAGAAAGTATCTTACTGTACGGCTACGAAGGTCTTTTGATACACATTTTGATATGTTAATGAATGTTATTTTAATATCAAATGTTTCAAGGACAATAAAATATGTTTATAACCAAATAATAATTTGAATACCAATCAATTCATTATATTATAGGTAATGAAATCCATTTTTATAAATATATAATACCTTTGATGTTGATTTTGAAAAAAAGGATATCTTAAAATAAAATGGTGTGGACACTTTGACATTATGGACTCTTTAAACCACTGAACCAATATTTTGAGGCCAATAATTTATAGTGTAATGTATATGTTTTCTTTATCTCCATTGAATTTTCTTTTCAAGTTTCCAAACACTTGGAAGGATACAAATTTTTGTTTATCTATTTAATATTTACTAGTTTATAACTCGTAAGAACCACGGTTATAAAATTAATTAAATTTTATATTAAAAAATTAAAATTGTTAAACAATTATTTTAATTAAAGGATATGTTTTTTAATTATATAAAATTATAATCGTTGATTTAAATAAATACGTGAAGTTATATCGCCTTATGATCTGTATTAATTTTATTTTATTTTTTCAATGTAATGTTATTAATTAAATATAATTAGAGTGAGAAAATTTAAAATCAAAAATCAATTATTAATTTAATGTAATTAGAGAGGGAAATTTAAAATTTGAAATGGATAATCAATTATTAGTTTAATGTAATTAGAGTGAGAAATTTAAAATTTAAAATGGATAATTAATAGGTTGACAAGTTGCATGATAGATGATATATAACATTGATGATGAGTTCTAATTGTATGACATTTATCAATAGAAGATTAAACATATTCTTTTATTAGAATAGGGATAAGGTCAGATCCGTCGATTTAACTTTTCTAACCATACTATGAATCAAAATTTGAGGGAAAACAAAATTAACATTATGATGGTGAGCCAAGTTAAGTAGAATATTTATTTTTTTCATTTTTACTTCCACGATATATCGTAGAGCACTCATTCTTGCAAAAATTCTTACAAAATATGTTGGTTTTATTTTCATTTTTTGCAAGAATGTTCAATAAATTAGTTTTCCGTCATATGAAATGTTATCATAAAAAAATCTTTGTCCTTTTTTTAGGAAATAAGTTTTGTTCATAAAATATGATTGTCTTAATGGTATTTTGTAAACAAAAAAGAAAAGTTTGTTATGGTGTTTTTTTAAAACCATTGTCTTTTATAAAAATACAAATAGTTTGTTACCCATTTATGAAATAAACCCTTATATTACCATTTTTTATCAAGAAAATGATCATGAAAGAAAATGCTCATGAAAGATCCAAATACAAGATTTGCCTTTGCTAAGCCCTATGTATGCTTTTTTTTTTTTTTTTTTGTGACTAGAATCATTAGGGATGAAGATGTGGCGAGATTGACCATCACTATCTCCATCTCTGAGTGTTTATTCTTGTACCTATCCCCATCCCCATCCCCATCCCCACGGATACGGTGAATCGAATCTCCTCCCCTTTAGATTTTTGGCTTTTCCCCAATCCATCCCCGATCTATCAACGTAATGAAATCAACTTATGCAAAAAAATTATAATAATAATAAGTTTAATAAGCGATCAAAACCAAATGCCATAATCAGATTGTGTTTATATCAATCAATAAGTTTAACAAACATCACAAAGAGATGTGACAATTTGATATACTAACTGTTGAACAAAGTGACGATTGACGAAGCCTTGGAATTGGAAACATAATTTGGTAAATAGACTATGTCTCTAATGGTCTAATACAGACCATTTAATGCTTAGCGGACTTAATTCAAATATAATAAATTATCAATATACTAATATATATATACATATATATATATACATATATATATATACATATATATATATATATATATATATATATATATATATATATATATAAACACACGTATCGAAGCATGCCCCGCGGGGGGGGGGGGGGGGGGGGATTGGAATACCTAACCCTAACCCCATCCCCAATTTTAGCATAATGGGGATCCCTGTCTCTGATTGGGACGGGTCAACCCGGTTGAGTGAAATTTTCATGCCGAATAATCATTGTTTGTATTTTTTTTCTTAGTTAATGTTAAGTTTTTATAAACATTCAATGTTTATAGCACACCCATGGGTTCAAGAAAGTGGAAATGCTTCTGAAATTCCTCACGATGTTTATGTTCTATCCAACATGCATCAAGTTGTGAAATAAGTCACTTAAAACATTATGCTCAACTGGTAAGTATTTATCTCCAAGGGTAAATGTAGAAATAGCAATGAACTTTCGCAAAAAAAACTTATATAGCATTCTACTTTTTACTTTTCATGTTACAACATTATACTTTGAAAAAGCTACTAGATCAGAGCAATGTCATCTAAATAAAAAGAAATTTCATAGGTATAATAATAAGAAAAACCTGAAAGTATAATGTTATAATTAAGTAGTTTTTTAATAGTAAAAATATCTTAATTAAAAAAATGAAGTAGGATGCTATGATTCACAAATAAATGAAAATACATTACTATTTATTGCATTTAGTCGTTATCTCGTATTGAGATTCGATGTTATTACATGGGCATTAGCTGGTACACTTGAAGAAGAGATCAATTTCACACTATTGATGTACATAAAAGTAGAAAATGAGAAAAGGTACGTTTCTCCCATAGAACTCATAATGGTAAGCCATTATATTTGATGAATAGATATAAATTTTGACTTTTGGGTCAAACAGACTACTTTCATGATTCGATATTGAGAATGATTTGTTGCCAATTCAAAACCAATATCTCTAACTTTGATCAGTTAATTATATAACTGTAACATAATATTGATAATATTTTTAGAACCTATTTTTATTATCCTTCTTATTTCGAGGTTAATAGTCCCTTTAACTTTAAAGGCCACCAACAAATAACATTGTTATCCACTTTTGTAGCATACTAGGTTGAAGGGATCGATTGATCCACTTTTGGATGAACTATTGTTGACAAATATGGTAAATTATAATATTATCATGTCAAAGTTTCTTAGATTGTTAAGAACCGCAAGCATCAACCTAAGGGCTGTGCATACAAATTAACAGTAAAACGAGTTCAAGAGTTTGTTTTTTTTCAATGTAGCTTATTTCTTTATAACAACGAGAAGTTTCACTCGTTTCTGATAAGGAAAAGATAGGAACTTATATTGTATGTAAGTTATAGTCAGAAACTCATGGAAACAATCCATCCTTTAATCATTTTATGTTGATAATTTTGAAAATTCTCAAGTTTCTATGGATGTTAATGCGTTTATAAGCATCAATATACCTAGTTGGCTAGTTCTAAGCAGAGTGATGAAGTAGATTATCATTAAGCTATATCATTACTTGGTAATCATATATAACCAAAATCTTAAACATTTCATATCTATACCAAATACATGAAATGGTGGTTATCATTCACAATGGTACTCTTCTAGAGGTCAAACCAATACTTATCAAACACAAAATCAATCTAGAAGAAAAAATGTCTATTTTTTCTAAGAAAAAGAAACAAACTTCAAATAAAGGTGATTGGGTGCCATAATTACCAAGCATTAATCATTTTGCTAGAGATTGTAAATCCAATATCAAGATTAAGATGGACAAAGATGTGACATACTACATGCAAAAACTAAAGTTGATTGAAGAGAAAAGGACCAAGGAAACATCTTTCATGGTGATGCACGAACGTAGCATTGAATATGGTATTTATGAGGTAATTCTAACATTAATAGTAGTAATGGTCATCCAAATTTGTGTAGGATATATATATATATATATATATATATATATATATATATATATATATATATATATATATATATATATATATATATATGACTATGTGACTATTACGTTATGATTGTCTGGTATATGCATGGAATCGATCTGGGCTCAGAGTCATTATGGACTCGGGGGATACGCACCCGGGGGTTGATACGAATCCGACACAATTACTTGTTGTTATATGGGGTTGATACGGACCCGACACAACCACGTGTTATTATATTTATATGTGTGTTGCATGTGGTATTTTGGGGAAGCTCACTAAACTTTGTGCTTATAGTTATGTTTATGGTTTTCAGTTACTTTTGGTATGAAAGGGAAGGACTAGGTGTGTGGCACAACATTCTTCCCTTCATGTTTTCGTGATTATGATTTCTTTTACTCTGATAAC